AAAATAGTCCATTGTGTAGCTTTGTGGTTAACAACAATCAAATCAATATTATCCCAATAGAAGAAGAGGGTCGGTGTATGAAATTATATATATTGTCTTCCATCTGTTGCTTTAGATTTTTGAATGTTTAAATACAATAAAAACTTAAATTAACTTTGAAAATACAATACGAAAATGAAGTTTAACTATTTAGAATAAAATTTGAGACGATATCAAATAAATGTTTTTGCGTTTCAAAATTTTGCGTAATGTTACGCATGCGCATAATCGTTCCTAATGTTCAACTGATAGACTAGTAAGAAGGCAGCTAGTCAACAGCATCCACCTTCAACTCTTTGGCTATTCTTGACTGATCGAAAAGTGTGATTTGACTGTCATTCTTATGGCAAACCATGAATACCACAAGTTACAATAATATTTCATTGCAAGAAACATTTCCAGTTACAGTGTTACTCTCATATCAAAATGATGATATTATAACAACGCTTCCTAGATAGTTTTTCAGAATCTTGAAATGTTATTTAACAAATTAGAGATGATCAAACTGATGAAGTTAAGACGGGTTCAAGATTAGCACCATCACTCCAAATTGTTCCTTTGTTACTGTGATTAGAAAATTGTTCCTTTGTTACTATGATAACGAGTGATTAGAAGATTATTCTTTTGTTACTATGAAAACCAGTGATTAGAGAATTGTTCCTTTGTTACTATGATAACCAGTGGTTATAAAATTGTTCCTTTGTTACTATGATAACCAGTGATTAGAAAATTGTTCTTTGAGTTTCAAGCGTTTATAGTATAGAAAGTATGTTGAAGATAAGTTCGTCGTCTCTAATGATATAGAACTTGTTGAAATGCCTTAATAATCAACATAACACTGCAGTATGGAATTCACGGTAGAACATCACTTTGAAACCAGCCTGCTTTTATTGAAAAATTAACATATAATAATGACAAGACTGAATGTGAAGTGTATCACGAAAAACATTAACTGGCTTATATTTTAACTTTGACAATTTCATTCCAGAATTGTTTAGAATAAAGATATTTATTCATCGAAAACATTAAAACATTAAAATGTTTTTAAACGAAATTAATTTCTGAATAATATGATAAATAACATCTCAAAATTATTTGGTTAAGGTCAGAAATCCTAAAATTAAATGTTCTCAAATAGTATTTATCAAAAGCTAGCGTAAAACAATCGTGCTCCGCTCCCGGATTCATAGAGGCCCCATTTTGCTTATCAAGGTCTTCCATTACTTCCATTTACTTTTATAGCTACCTCAAAGAGAGTCCGCACCCAAAAAAAAAAAATCCCTTAGGACACCCTCTATAATACTCACGTGCGCCAAGTTTGGTCCCACTAGCTCGTGAGGGGGTCTATGAACAAAGTTTCAAAGATTGCTTCCCCGGAATCCCGTGGAGGGAGCATTAACGCAAAATTCTGTCCCAAATTCGGGTTCAGTGACCCTGAAACATACTCTTATACCCCTACCATGCCTGGTGGCCTATCGAAGCGTTTTAGCCCCTTTAGTACCCCCTTTGTTGGGGAGATATGCATATAGATAAGAGTACCTCAGATATCCCGACTGCACATGCCAAGTTTGTTCCTGCTATCACCATAACTGTGGAAGAAGTTAGCTGGACATGTATATGCAATACTCCCAGTTAAGTCATATTCCAATGGGAGAGATAACACAGGACCACTAATAACAAGAGATTCGACAAGATTTTACTGAGGAATAATCCTATGTTTTCTGACTACTGAAGCCATGATAAGTAAATAAGGATTAAGCACAAATGTACAATTAAAATGAGCAGTTTTTATTTAAGGTAAAGACAGAGAAAATGTAGACTTAATTTGTTACAACGGACTGTTGCCCTTACTGGAAATTTAGTAATAACTCAGAGAAAGTAGCGTTACATACGTGTCTAGTCGTTCCCCAATAAAATAAAAAAGAAGTCGTTACTTTCAGAGGTTACTTGACTGCCACTCAAAACAGATACCTAACTTCATATATTATATGTAACCTTACAACTATCTTTTCCAATAAAAGAGAAAAGGTGATATTCTAGATGCATGGCATCGTACAATGGGCAGCTAAAGTGAAATGAATTTAACAATATTCTTGAACAATGTGGTGCAAAAACAGCACCAAATAGCAAATTTTGAAATTTTCTGTATTACAGGTGGAGGGGTAGAAAATACATACTATGTTTATATACGATACATGAATATAGAGTTCCAAGCTGAATTAATACAGGATATCACCATATAGAAAAACATATATTAAATGCGAAACTACAGTTGTGTAATCGTTTCCATAGAGCTTATCCACAGACTGATCTAAGAGTTATCTTTAAACACTGAGGCAGATTATGACATATCTCCAAGTTTAAAGACAAAAAGACCATGTTTGAAAAAAATCTGATGTTATATATTAATTTAAATATCCTATAAGTAGTGTTTTTGCTTGTTTGTTTGTTAAGCACATATGTATAAACACACATAATAACTTGCAGCTTTGATACCCACACTAATTCACATAATGAAACCACTTTTATTCGTTAAGTACGCTTCTTTGGACTTTATCTTTATTTAAAGATGCCCAATTGATCCCAAGAAATTAATTTTGATTCATCTGACTAGTTGTTGAAAGATCTAAAGTTTTTAGTCACTTCAACTCTGCAAGAGCACAATACATTTATCAGAGTAATGGAAGACTAATAAATAATAGCCTCATGGTCGTATTCCAGCCAACAGGACTTGCATCACATTTTCCTTTGACACTGTTTTGCTGAACTGAAATATGAACACACTATGGTTGCTGGCATTTTCTTTTTTCCCTTCATACTGTGGCGCATCAGTCTTGATTCAGTCATTATTACTGCTTACACTCGAGGTTTTATCAGTTACAGCTTTTGTTGACTTTACGTTAGAGGCTGTTTGTCCCAGGCGCATTTTTAATATAGAAATTTAAAAGCTTAATAGTACACCGTTCTTCCCCCCATACTACATTTTGAAATTGGACAGTAGGTTATCTTTCACTCTTCTAATAGTAGTAATTATTGACGTAGACGTATTGAGTTTCATTGTGTTTATTAATATTAACTTCCGTATAGGTATATGATTATTATGGAAGTTAAAATACGAACATCAGAAAGTGTTTGTTTGTTTTAGCGCAACGCTACACAACGAGCCTCCGAACTCTTTCTGTTGTGGGGGATCGAACGCTGACTTTTATCGGTGTAAGTCCGTTAACTTACCGCTGATCCACTGGGGGACACTTTAAGAGATAAGTTTTACTTATCACTCCCATTATCCGTTTTTATTAATCTATCTTATTGTGTTTTCCTGCTTTTCTATTACCTTCAGAGCAGTCATCTTTTACAACAGACGGCATATTATGAATTGCAGATAGAAACGTCAAATATTAAGAGGGCTCGATCGCCCATATTTCTTTCTTTCTTTGGTTTCCTCCAATTGTAACCCACAAATAAGTTGGCGAATAGGCGTTAAGTCTGATTAACAACGTATCTAATCAAAAACACTTTAGGTGTTAAAACAAAAATGCGACCAAAAAAAAAAACAAAAAGGATTGAGTGTGTGACTTGAAGGAATAAAATCAAAATTGGTGGCCATACTGGTAGGCTACACTTATAGCATTGATAAGAATTTTACAGCAAATAGTCATTTATTAATTAGACAGGCCGCGTTTTTCGTTCAACTTAGGGCAGGATGGTGGGTAAAAGTTAGTAACTTTGTGCTGAAAAGTTGGTAATGAATAATCAATAATAACCGTCCACCCGTATGATTTATTTGAAAATTTGAGCTAGAAACTGCTAATCTAGTTTGCTTGGCCTAACAAATACTTCTGTATCTACACGTTCTTTCACCGTATACTTTTGCTGCTCTAAATCAGTCGTCTTTTATCCGAACGACAAAAAACTGAAAACGGTCTACTTTTACTCTTAGGTGAAGCTATAGTAAAAATGTTAGACTGATAGCTGACTTTTTGCATTGGCGTGCGCAGAAGTTTTCGTCAAATTTGAGCGGTTTTTGTTGAATAACTATGCACAGGTGGCTTATATTTACACCAAATGCGAATCCTAATTGTAGGTTGAAAAGATCTAACAGTGTATTAAATTTGAAAAAAATCCATAAACGTTAATTATGTTTTTCTATCAAATAAAGTTTCCGTATTTTGGGTGCAAAGAAAAATAAAAAAAGAGGAAGAAACTCAATCAAAATTGGCGATGTTATATCTCGCGTATTTCTTAATGGATTGACTTGAAATTTGGTATGTGAAGTAAGAATCCATTAGAGCACATCCACTAAAAATATATATTAATTTGGACTACCAAAGTCCGAGATACAAAAGGTGGATAATCGCTAAACTACACTCCTGTTAATAACACATAGTGTGTCCTGCAGCAGGTTGTTTTGGCTGCACGACACACTACCGTGTGTCTTGATCAGTGGTAAGTCTGAAGACTTATAATGTTAAAAACTGGGTTTCGATACCCGTGGTGAGCACAGAACAGATAGCTGATTGTGTAGCTTTGTGCTTAACAACAACAGAAAAACACCGTATGGGTCCTACTTTCTCAGATACCTTTTCTACTAAGACACGTTTTAGCTTTTTAACATTTTAGGTTGTACTCTACTTTTTATTAATCACCTTTGTATGTTACAAAACGCAAGGACTTTTGGATATCCTAAAATACACACGTTTACTTTCTTAATGTGATATAGTAATCTTAAGGTTTACTCCAAATTTTCGAAACGGAGTTTATAATTTGTTTTCTACTTGTGTTTGATAGTTTCAATACTTTATGTATTTCAATATGATTTTGTTTTCAGTTTTTTCCTCCAGAAAGTTAAACATGAAATAAAAACGATTACAGGTATCTATTAAGAGAAACGTTTGATGTTACGAACATGGGATATATTGGTATACAACCGAATTGCAAGAACTGAAAACGAAAAGGATCACCTGGACTAAGTAGAAAAACAGCCGTCACGATGAGAGCAGAAACGAGGATGATCACTAAAAGGGCGATTCCGATCCCACGCCAGTTCCTATCGTCCTGTCCCGAAGACACCAGCTCCTGAAATAACATATAATTAATATGAAAAGCATTAGACACACCTATGTTATAGTTTGTTTGTTTTTTAATTTCGCGCAAAGCTACGCAAGGGCTATCTGCGCTAGCCGTCCCTAATTTAG